CCGCACTATTAAACGGGTTCCACAACCTTTTGTAAGGTCATGCATTCTGAGTCCAGGCTTCTGTTCCAGGGTTTCTGCGTGGTCTTAAATTTAGTTGTATCAAATTTAAGGTCTTAAATTGTGCAATAAATTTTAGCAAATTGGCTCAAAAGGAAAATGTACATTACAGTTATGATTAATTACAATTATTTATATCTGCTGCCAGTAGTAACTGTAGCAGAATTAAGTTGCCATCAACCTGTTAATTGTTGACTAATAATTTTCGTCATAACGTTTGTCAATGTTTTTTTTTTTTTTCACTGACAATGAGACTATAACGAACAAACTCTTTGAATAACAAATTATGATGAAAATATTGACACTTTCGTCAACTAATAAAAACAAGATGAATGTTAGGGAGGGACTATTTGGGAAGAGATTCGTTCAATTTCAGAATGAATCTGCTGTGTGGTTCGGAGGTTAGATGGGTACATATGAACTGGCGGGACATAAGCTAAAAGTACACTTGCTGCACGTCGAATAAAACTTTCAAAATGTTATGTGGGAGTAAGAGATGAGGAGACATGTAGGTAAATCTGACGACGCAAGAGAGAACTCCTTTTGGTCCGGTTTTCTGAACACACGCGCGCGTCTCACAGCGTGCGAGTAGGCCTACGCTTTCACGTCGCATGAATGAGAATTACACACAATTATGTAGAATTGTCAGTTTTGATGAGTAATCTTAAGTGAACACAAACAGTAGGGAGAACTCTGTGCCTGGGGCCTGCTTGCCTGTTGGATCTCGGGTGTGGACGTGTCGCTGAGTTTGATGGGTCTGGTCTCTTCATGAAGGAAAGTTCTTGTTTTTGCTGCTGGTTTTTGAGAGAGCCTGATGTTTTCGAGGTGGCTGGCCTTGATTTTGACTTTTTTTGCCCGCAGCATTGCCTCACTCGCTGGGCTTCCTGTTTACGAGTGATGAAACGCAACACCATCGGTTGCCACTGAGAAATGGATAACCCGTACTGGATTTTTCCGTCGTTAACCTGGACTTTATCATACCTAGGCCTGTTTTTTCTTTTTGGATGCCCGGGTCCTATGTAATATTTTGTCTTTCTACGTCTGGGTGGTGCGATGGGCATGGAGAGAAAGAAGTGGTTGCTCCTTGCCTTTTTCTGTTTTACTTTTTGTTCTTATTTATCTCTGGGGACACCAACTACTGGAATGGCTATTCCAGACCAGTGCTCCCAATACTGTGTGAATCATATAAAGGCACGTGCGCATTTGGTTGTTCACTTAATGTCGCGTCACTCCCTCTGCCCCTATTTTTCCCCTCTGATACTGTTGACTTGGTCTGTTTGTCTAGTATTATGACGTTATGTGACAATTTTACCACTATCTCCTGTGTGTTCCTAGATTCCAATTTTGGTCGGAGAAGCAATGAATCGTACAAGAAATCATTTAAGCTAAAATGTTTAATTGCTTTGTTACTGTGGATGTCAGAAAATGTGCAGCCAAACCCAGGCCCAGACACCCCTATAGGTTTTAACACCTGGGAAGATTTTAAAGAAAGGTCTGGTCTTGGTTTCTTTCATTTGAAAGAATGTTGCGTATCTGGGCTCACTCTACAGATACTGATGTAACTGTCTTGTCTGAAACTTGGTTAAGTAAATCGGTTTCAGATAAAGAAGTCAATATGTTTTAAAGCTAGCAGCAAATTTTATTGCAGTGCCTTTAATTAATATTTTGAATCTGTGTTTGAACACAAATGTCATTCCTTCCATCTGGAAATCAGCCTTTGTGGTTCCCCTGTTAAAAGGTGGTGACCCTTCTATCTTAAATAACTACAGACCGATCTCAAAATTGTCTGTTTTGGTCAAGGTTTTAGAGTCCCTTGTCAGTGATCAATTAAAAGATTTTTTTAACAATAAAAATGTTTTATCTGGTTTCAGAAAAAAGCATAGTACAACATCGGCAGCTTTTAAGGTTTTAAATGACTTTATTGAATCTATAGATAACAAGCAGCATTGTGCAGCCCTCTTTATTGACCTCTCTAAGGCATTTGATACAGTGGACCACACAGTGCTTAAGCACAGACTGTGTAGGGCTGGACTTTCTGAACAAACTATCAGCTGGTTTGATAATTATCTTACAGACAGAACTCAGTGTGTGCAGGCGGAGGGCAACACCTCTCGCTATCTCAAAATAACAAAAGGCGTGCCTCAGGGGTCAGTCTTGGGGCCACTACTTTTTATTCTCTATATAAATAACATTGATAGTAACGTGTCTAAAGGAAAATTTCATTTTTATGCAGATGACACTGTACTGTATTGCTCAGCACCCACCGCAGACCAGGCTCTCTCCCAATTACAACTTGATTTTAACATGCTCCAACAGAATCTTAATGATTTAAAACTTGTTTTAAATGCTGAAAAAACAGAAGTCATGCTTTTTTCAAATTTGAAATCCAAATCAAATCTGCCTTCAATCCTCACTTCCCAGGGAACGAAGATTGAATGTGTCTCTAAATACAGATATCTTGGTATTTTAATAGATGAATCTCTTTCTTTTACCTTTCATATTCAGCAGCTAGCAAAAAGATTAAAACTTAAATTAGGGTTTTATTTTAGAATCAAATCCTGCCTTTCGTTCGAATCTAGAAAGAGGCTGGTTGCTGCCACTTTTATGTCTATACTTGACTATGGTGATGTTTTATACATGCATGCTTCGTCTCAAAGTTTACATGCACTGGACACTGTATACCATGGAGCTCTGAGGTTCATCACTGGTTTTAAAGTCCTCACTCACCATTGTGAACTGTATAAACGTGTTGGATGGCCTTCTCTATCAATGCGGAGACTTCAACATTGGTATATCTTTATACAAAGCTATTTTAGGTCTACTTCCATCCTACCTTCTGACCTACATCAGTGTAAATAATACTGGGACTTACAATCTTCGTTCACAGGATCTTTTCCTTCTGTCTGTTCCAAAGGTTAGAACTGAGCTGGGAAAAAAGGCTTTTAGGTATGCTGCTCCCTCTTCATGGAACAAATTACAGAAATCTATGAAAATTAATACGCTGGTCTCATTGGTCACTTTTAAGAGGATGTTAACTGACTTGGAGGCAGTCACATCTGGCTGTAGATGTTCTGCCTGATGTGTTATTGATTGTGGTTTATTTTAAAGTATTCGCTATTTCAGTTGTTTTATGTTACTATATTTTGTACCTGTATGTATGTATGGTTGTACTGCTGCCTATCTTGACCAGGACACTCTTGAAAAAGAGATTTTTAATCTCAATGAGATTAAATGAGTTTCTTCCTGGTTAAATAAAGGTAAAAAAAAATCAAAATTTGCTGTCAAAATTAACACTGCCATCAACCAATCTGTTTGTTCAGCGAACATTCAGTGTAAGTTCATATCAACTCTAGGAAAGGATATTTCCGTGGCCACAGAAAATACTTTCATACAGTATTAATGCATTAGAGCATGTAGTAAGGATCAAAATCGTAAAGGGACATTAATTTGCCAAGCAGAATCAGAAGCTCATGTAATTTGTGCACAAGAGTTTTATTAACTAAACACTAACACAAAGAGTCAAACCGTTTTAGAATGGGGTCTACAGCTTATACTAAACCTCTGTTTCGTTTAGTTAAATGTACGAAATGTACGATAGAATGAGCGTCCAGATGCAATCTCAGATGAAAGTCTTGATGGTTTGAAAGTTTGGTGGTGTTGGAATTGTGATCATAATGAACTACAAAGATGTTACTGTGACTCGTGGTGATTGGGAGAGTTCTCTTCCAGGTGAAAAGTTGCAACATGGCTTGCTGCAACTTTGACTTCCTACCGGCAATGGGGAGGTCCCCGCAGGTCACGGTCGGACTGGATGTCCAAGAGGCAAGGAGGTAAGCGCTCAGAAGAAGAGAGAAGAGAGAGGCGGGTCACTGATGTGAGGCCTTTTAACTTCTATGGAGGCCGCACCTCCAGGAGGTCAGTGAGCCAATGGTGACTTAAGCTTTTGGAGGGAAAGGTTATGACTCTTTGTCTTTGAACATGGTATTTTGCATAGGTAACTGGATTGCATAGCATAACTAGATGAAAAAACAACAACTGATAAATAATAATTTGCCCTCTAGGACTCTTTTCCAGTGATCTTCTCATTTATTGCTTCATTCCAATGAAATGCGGATGCATAGGTTGAGTTTTCTGATTGCATTAGTTTTGTAAGAGTAAGATATATTAAATATATTAAATAATTACAATAAACTATAAATTATTGATGTGTACAATAGACTATAAATTGATTAGTAGGCTAATGAATGAAAATTCATTCAGGCACTGAATGAAAAAGTGGTTTCCTGCTTGATGATTACACATACACATCCTGAAGATAAGGATGAGTGAGAGAAAAGGAGGAGTTGTGAAAGTGAATGGAAAAGTATAAAATGAGACAGATCCAAGAGTTACTGAGTGGACAGACAGACGACAAAAGTAGAGGAACTGCAATGTTAACTATTCTTCTTTATATATATATATATATCACACAGTTCATATAATACTGAAGTCACACCAACTAGAAACATACAAATCCGGGGAACCTCTTTTCCTCCCATCTTCCACTGTCAGAACAACTGCTTGGCAGTCTATTGTTGGCAGCGAAAGTTTGGCTGGCACCCATCTGGAGCCAGGCAGCCTGCACATTCTCTGGGTATAGATCTAATGAGGCCTGCTGATGGACCAGCCGTGGTCACGCTGGTGTGGGTTACAAATATAAAGCCCTGGGCTGTATGAATCCTCCATGTTGTGAAGTAATTCTTCGGACTGTGGGAATGTAATGCTAAAGGCTTGGGCCAGGACAGTGTAGCAAATTAGCTCAAAAGGGAAATGTATATAAATAATTACAATTAATTATGATTAATTATAATTATTTATATCAGCTGCCAGTAGTAACTGTAGCAGAATTAAATTGCCATCAACCAATCTGTTCGTCCAGCGAACATTCAGTGTAAGTTCATATCAACTCTAGGAAATATTTCCGTGGCCACAGAAAATACTTTCATACAGTATTAATGCATTAGAGCATGTAGTAAGGATCAAAATCGTAAAGGGACATTAATTTGCCAAGCAGAATCAGAAGCTCATGTAATTTGTGCACAAGAGTTTTATTAACTAAACACTAACACAAACTAGTCTAACAAACAATCACTCATACATGGGAAAGGGCAAATGAGACTTGATGGATGAAGCCATGAGGAAGAAATAACAGAGAATGAAGCTAAGAAAAGAGTCAAACCATCAGCGCCGTTTTAGAATGGGGTCTACAGCTTATACTAAACCTCTGTTTCGTTTAGTTAAATGTACGATACTTGCATTGCCTTGGCCTGGAACGAGCGTGTGGATGCAGTCTCAGATGAAAGTCTTGATGGTTTGGAGGTTCGGTGGTGTAGGAGTCGCAATCAACTTCTTCCGGGTTTGAAGAGTGATGAACTCCAAAGATGTTCTGACTCGATGGTGATTGGGAGTTTCTTCCCAGTGGAAAGTGAAAAAGAGCTAAGAGAGACATCAGCTGAGATCCTAGGATCTTTGGTGAATGTAAAGACAAGGCCGAAGCC